GTAGTCACTAGGAATGACTCTCAAACTCTTTTTCTTAGGAATCTTTGGCAGCTGAGATTGAGGGGACCATGCGTAAAAGGTTGAATTTGGATGAGGAATCTTCTCTCTTTAAACAAAAGTGAGTACAGATCACATGTGTTGTTACTCAACCATTGGAATGGAAATTAAAGAGAAGCCACAATCCAAAGTGATAAGTATTATGAGATTCAGTAGCAATCTGCTTATTATTGAGTTTTTTCCTCACAGTATCCTTATTTTTGAGAGCGTGCTCTTGTTCTAAAATTTATTTTCTAATGATTTCTCCTAAACTTTAGAGGCTACTCAGGATGGCTTTCTTTCCAGTGAACTGTGTATGTCTCTTTCCAAAAGCACTGTAGTGGCTGGCAGTGATGGTAATGAACATTTCCTTTTTTTTCAGAGCCCAACAGAAACGGGTATTTGATACTGTCAGAGCTGCCAATGACACACGAGGCCGCTCTGTCTCGTTCCCAGCTCTGCTGCCCATCCCAGGCTCCAACCGTTCAAGTGTCATCATGACAGCAAAACCCTTTGAGTCTGTTTTACAGCAAACAGAGGACGAAACACTCCCCAACCAGGGGAGCAACTCGGAGGAGGTTCCGAGGTAGGGAATGTCATCATGGCAGTGATTCTGCATTTCTGTGGTGCTGACATTCCAGATTCACATACTCAAATTGCAGTATTAGTTTATAAGGTCCCAAGAAGGTTCTGAAACTGTTGGTTTTCATTCAGTTACAAAGCCCTATATCATTAATTTGTAAGGTAGATCACTGATTTCATAAAAGTTTTGAGTGAAAAAGCTACATTTAATTAAGTTTATTTAAAATGGAGCTTGCATTTAACGCTAAAAATGTTTTGCTACTTTTTTAGTGTTGCAAAGTTTGACTCTAAATCATCTTCTTGCTAAAAGTCAAATTTGAGTTCATTTGGTCGCTAGCATAAATGCATCAAGATGACACTTTCTCATAACCCATGCTCATAGTCTCAACCACTTCGGTGCTTTTAGAATAAACGATAAGTTTGCATACCTATTGAGGACAACCAAGTTGCTCTTAATTTTCTCTTTGTTTAAACTTAGATTTTTTTTTCCTTCTTTTCATTAATTTATTACATTGAATTACATATAACTAGAGGTTAAACAGCTTTACTAAAAATTGGCTGAAAGCCTTTGAAAGATGGTTGCTTGGCACGTCAGGGAAACCTTTCCTTATGCAGACATCCATCACACTAGGTTTCAGTTGTATTGCCTGGTCTATTGTGGGCAGTGTTACACCAACAGTAGCTTTATGTGTTAATACTTCCTGACTATTAGACAGTTTTCTCTAAAACAGATCTATGTGAATTCATACACAGTACCCAGGAGCAACCATAACTCGGCTTGCTACTTTTTCCTTGTGGTATCAATAATAAGACACCTTCCAATTTCAAAAATGTTGAAGTGAAAAAATGAGCACCAGAGAGCTATGAAAATGCAGTATTATACAAATCTTATTTTCTTTTAAATGTTGTGCAATATTTATGAGGGATTCTTTGGCCCCAAACAAGTTTTTTCACATTTTAGTATTTTTTACGTTGTTATGTTTTGCAGCTAATGGCATGTCATGGTTTAATGGGTAGCATTTTTTCTTTCTTCATAGAACATAAAATAATGTTACCTCTTATAATCAATGATATCACAGATTCAGTGAAATATGATAATATTTGCTTTTGTGACTACCTAATCTGAATTTATAGATGGTCATATCCGTAGTTTCATAAATTAAATGAAATAGAAAAGTTACTGAACACAATATATCAATAAAGCAGTTTCTTGCCTCTCCAAAGTCATTTGAGATGATCTATAAAAATGATATAAAGTATTGTTGGTGATTTTGGTTTGTTATTACTTCTATATTCCAGATATCTAAGAAAATACAATGTTTTTAAGAACAGTCTCTTAAACGTTCACCATTATAGAAAGGAAGGTCAGAGTCAGGTGCCGTAGCTCACACACAACTACTTGGGAGGTGGGAGAATCACTTGAGGCCAGGAGTTCAAGACCAACCTGGGCAATATAGCGAGACCCCGTCTCAAAAAAGAGAGAAAGGAAAAAAAAGGAGAGGTCTTGGTTGTGCGTATGACCTTAAGATCTAACTAGTGAATGTGATTTTCCCATAGGAACTCCCAGAGGATGGAACAGCCAGGACCCTCTGGAGAGAGTGATTTGGCCACAGCACTGCATCGCCTTAGCCTTCGTCGACAGAACTATTTAAGTGAGAAGCAGTTCTTCGCTGAAGAATGGGAGCGAAAGATCCAGGTTCTGGCTGACCAGAAGGAAAGGGCTAGTGGCTGCATCACCCCCACAGAGAGCCTTGCCTCTCTCTGCACCAACCAGTCAGAGTTCACAGATTTCAGCAGTGCCAGTTGTCTTCGAGGTTTTATGCCAGAAAAATTACAAATTGTCAAGCCCCTGGAAGGTAATAAATCAGTAAGGGCCCTTTCCAAGCCACGTGGCTTATTGGGCTTGCCTTTCCCTGGAATTGAGATTTGTGTCGTAATTACAAGAGCACTGTGTACAGAAGATACCTTTTTTATCCCTTAATTTTGCTGTTTGGGTGACAGTGCATTGTAGAACTTTGTGGAAATAATGAATGAAAAGCTCTATTCTCTAAATCATCAGCCATCGCTTCTTTTCTACTGATATTTTTTAATATAAATGTGAGGGGGGAGGAGGAGTAATCTTTTCCTATCTTGTGTTAAGGAATGTGATTGACAGCAGGTTGCATGGTAAGGTAAATGGGATATGATAAATGAAAATGATCGACAGGTAATACCTCATCTCACCTTCCTTTTCAAAAGAGTTCTTTATGCAAAAGTGTAATTGACTTAGAAGTATGTTTGCCTGTATTTTTCTTTTTTCAGTTTAGTTTCTATTCTCTCCTAAGATACAGAATTTGAATTCAAAATAAATTTTGTTTTATGAACAATTGACAATCATTGACTGACATCATAAAATAATTTTGCATTAAACAAAATTTTGAGTAGGTAACTTATAAGGACCCCTCCTACTCAAAGATTCTGTAACTTAGTTTTATTCATTAATACTCAGTGTAGATATTTGTCAGAGTTGCCTTTTCTTTTTTTTTTTTTTCCTGGAAACAATGTCTCACTCCGTTGCACCAGCTAGAGTGCAGTGGTATGATCATAGCAACCACAAACTCCAGCCAAAAGGGTGGATATCTTCCTTCCCATCACTCCCTCAGCATCCTAGTTCCCATTAAGGGTGTCATCTTGTTTTTTTCCACCCTTTCTCTAGATATCCTTAAAGTTAACTTTGAAATAGATTATTATACGTTCAACATCTTGTCAGTCTTCCACAGAAAACTTTAATTTGCAGCTTTTACCAAAATATTAACACTAAATAAGTAGTTTTATTTCTGTTATTATTATTATTACACTTATAATTTTAGCTTCTATTTCAAGATTTAAGATTTGTGAGAAATGTAAAACATGCCTTTTTTTTCCTTTGGCCTGAATATTCAGGATCACAGACTCTGCATCATTGGCAGCAGCTTGCTCAACCAAACTTGGGAACAATTCTTGATCCCCGACCAGGTGTCATTACTAAAGGCTTTACCCAGTTGCCCAAGGATGCCATCTATCACATCTCAGATTTAGAAGAGGATGAAGAGGAGGGTATCACTTTTCAGGTTCAGCAGCCTCTTCAAGTGGAACAGAAACCTTCAATATTCAAGCCAGTAACAGGGATCTTCCTACCGTCCATTACTTCAGCAGGTGGACCAGTAACAGGTGAGAAGAGTACTTAGTTGAATATGGTCTAGTAACCAGGAAGTACTTGGCATCCTGACTTACTGTGTGGTCAGCTTGCTACCTCTGCTCGCTGGAGCGTACTCAGTCTTAGATACTGGATAATGAAAATCTATAGCATTAGTAGCATTCCTAATTCTCTCCACTTTATCTTAGCCAGCCTGCATAAATAAGTTGGGCAGAGAGATAGATCAATTAACTCAGTAGTTTGCAAACCTTTTAGGCCCAGGATTGCTTTACACTCTTAAAAATCATTGATAATTCCAGAGGGCTTATCTATGTGGGTTATATCTATTGATATTTACATATCAGAAATCAAAACTGAAAAATTATAAATATTTATTAACTCGTTTAAAATAAGAATTATACCAGTTGTGGTGGCTCACGCCTGTAATCCTAGCACTCTGGAAGGCTGAGTCGGGAGGATCGTTTGAGCTCAGGAGTTCGAGACCAGCCTGAGCAAGAGCGAGACCCCGTGTCTACTAAAAAAATATGGAAAGAAATTATCTGGACAACTAAAAATATATATAGAAAAAATTAGCCGGGCATGGTGGCGCATGCTTGTAGTCTCAGCTACTCGGGAGGCTGAGGCAGTAGGATTGCTTGAGCCCAGGAGTTTGAGATTGCTGTGAGCTAGGCTGATGCCACGGCACTCTACCGTGGTCAACAGAGTGAGATTCTGTCTATAAAATAATATGATGTAATATAATATAAAATAAAATAAAAATAACATGTTACACAAATAATGTTTTATGAAAATAGCTTATTTTTTTAAGTAGTAGGAAAAATGGTTTTGTTTCATAATTGTTCAAGCCTCTGATTTAGGGCCTAATATAAAATAGTTGGATTCTTATTATCAGGTTCTACATTCAGTCTATTGCAATATGTTGTTTTATTTAAACAATAATATGAGGAAAATGCAGCCTCACACAAACGTGATTGGAAAAGGAAAGCATATTTTAATAGTCTTTTCAGGTATTTATAGATATTCTTTGATATTACACAAAAACTGGGTAAGTAGTAGTTTCTTAAATGTGTGTATGTGGAATGTGGAACCCTGTCAATGAACTTTTCATACTTTGGTACATTAAAATGCATATACTTTGAATGTATCTTTTACCCATCCATGATTTTATAACATGCATTGGTCATTTAGAAAATATTGGTTCCCTGAGTTATGAGATTTTCCGAATGATGATACATTTCATTATATAATATATGAAAATCATATTAATGTTACCACATATCTCATCAGGAAGGCCTTTAAGTGTTAGGAAGCTTTCAAGCTCTCATAGGTGGATAAAAGTTTTCCAAAACACGAATTTTGACTTGAAAGCTCAAATTTTGTCACTGACAAAAAATATTGTCACTTGTTTTTCTTGAAGGGACAGGCTCACTTCATTCATTTTCAGGAAAATGTCTGTCAGATACCCAAGCCTGAATACCTATAGTTTGTCTGTTGTACTTTCAAGTAAAAATGATGTTCCATGACAAAATTTCAACTCATTTGCACAAGTGCTTTTCCTCTAGATAACCATCGTATCTCAGTATGGAGCAGCACTTAATGCATACTTCCCATTTCATCACACAGAATAGTAAAAAGATTTAAGGGCTAAAATTCAAGATTTAATAGATAATTTTTACGGTTTCATCAAGGACATTCTTAAGTGAATCTGTTTTGTTTTTTATTAATACTGTGAGTGCATGACAATGAAGAATACTAGTACGACTTGATGACATTGCCTTGATTTGTGCTAAGGAGCCAGCAGTTTTACCCACCATTGCTTTTGCACCAACAGTGCCAAGTGTCAACCCAGCCAAAAAGAAAAGGCCTCCTTCTTAGCATCACTCTGAAAGTAGTTTTGACCTGTGGACTCCCATAGAGTCTACAGGCCACACTTCGAGAACCACTAAAGTATTAGATAGTTTGGCTGGATAGTTTAGATGAATACCTCTTGATTTTTAGTGGGTTTTTTTTTTTCAGAGTTTTTTTCTCATTTCTAAGCTTTTTTTTATTCCTTTTGATTTACAGTTTTAAAGGATTCAGTTTTATACTAACCAGTTGATGCTATTACAATCTTTTTGTATATTTTATTTCCAGATTTAGAGATTTTTAGCCCAAAAGGCACTTGATAAATGCTGTATTATTAATAAATAATAATTTATTTTACATTATTACAATATTAACATTTACATGATTACATTTTTACATTATTAACCTAGTCTTTCGATTTTGTGTTTGCTCCCTAAAAATCTTTCAGTTGCAACCTCAAACCCAGGAAAGTGTCTGTCATGCACAAACTCGACATTCACCTTCACCACTTGTAGGATATTGCATCCCTCTGACATCACTCAGGTTACCCCCAGGTAAGAGTGTCTGGGAAATCTAGGGCCTCACTTCTTTCCTCATCTATGTTTTCATGAATTTCTTTTTTTAAATTACCTTCATTTTAATTCCTAGAATTTTAATTAATTTTCTGTGATAATTTGTCTTTAGAATATTTTCTCATTTGATCATTATAACTCTTTGAAGTAGGCAGGGCAAGTGAATATGTATTATGTAAAATAAAGAAACTGCGGCATAGGAAGTTGAGGTGACTGGTCCAAGGATAGACAGCTAATAAATGACCCAGCTGGAGCTATACCCAGAGTTAACCAAACTGCAAGGCTTAGAGAACCAGTGCTCTGCACAAGCTCACCCTCATTACTGATACCACCTACAAGTTCAAGGGGTTCCCAAAACCACTTTCAGGTTCAGTAATTTGCTAGAAGGATTCACAAAACTTGCTTGAGTTTTGCTTCTTTTATACAAGTTGGTATCCTAGAAAGTTTATTTATTAATCTTAAACTTGCCTTCCCAAAACCACTTTCAAGTTCAGTAATTTGCTAGAAGAATTCACAGAACTCACAGGAAGCCATTATACTACTCACAGCTATGACTTATTACAAGGAAAGGATATAGGTTAAAATTATCCAAAGGAAGAAATGTGTAGCGCAGTCTTGGAGAGTTCCATACTTGAAGCTTCCCTTGTCCTTAGGATTCATTACTCTCCTGGCATGGATTGTGACAGTGCACACAGAATATCACCAACCAGGGATGTTCACCCAAGCATTGTGTTCAGAGTTTTTATTGAGGCTTCAGTGTATAGGCATGATTGATTGATTACCCACAGGGTTGAACTCAGCCTCCCAGCTAACTGATATTGCATGACCCAAAGCCCATACTCTAAATCATATGCTTGGTCTTTCTAGTATGGCCAGTTCTTACCCTAAGATGATTGGATGTGGCCAGGCCCACCCTAAGATTTAGTGTGACCAGCCCCTACTCTAACCAAAGACACACCTATCAGTTATGACAGATTGCCTCCGAGAAGCAAAGGCCAGACGTCTCTGAGCAAGGCCAAATTATTTACTACACAGACTAGAACATGGATATTCTAACACATAGTCCCTTATTAAGCCATATTGATGCTGTTTTTATCCTAGCAATTCCCTCTAAAGTAGTTTTCAAAGATATGTAGAACCTTGGTAGGGATAATGTTAACTAGAAGTAGAGAAGAAAGATGTTGAAAAGGGAAATCAAATCACCGCAGCAATAAAAATAAATAAATGGGATCTGATCAAATTAAAAAGCTTTTTCACAGCCAAGGAAACTATCATTAGAGCGAATAGACAGCCTACAGAATGGGAGAAAATATTTGCTCTCTACACATCTGATAAAGGGCTGATAACAAGAATCTGTCTAGAACTTAAAAAAATCAACAAGAAAAAATCAAACA